ATCATAACCATCATTGCCATTGGTATTGATTGAGTTAAACATTCTTGCATCACCGGTCATGTGTTGAGTGCACCCACTATCAAGAACTCAATGCCTTCCTCTAGCTTTATAATTTACCTACAAAAGAAAATTAATTCTTTTTAGGTACCCAAACTTGCTTGGGTCCTTAAAAGTTAGTCACTAAGCTCTTTGGTACCCAAATGACTTTCTTCTTTGAGCCCATCCATGGTTTACTAATAAACTTGGCATTTACACCATTTGCATCCTTGGTAAGCACATAGAAAGAATCAAACTTAATGGAGAATACATTAGCATTTTTGCTCTTGTTTTTGCACTCATGCTCTTTATGACCAACTTGCTTACAACTAGTGCAAAACCGACCATTGTTCTTCACAAAACTAGTCTTTTGAGGAGCAAAGGTCGTCTTGCCTTTCTTGGGGATATAGCCCAATCTCTCTTTGTAGAGAGATGTTCTTTGGCTACCCAAGCATATAAGCAAGTGGTCCTCACCACCATAGGCCTTAGCCAAGGTGTGAGTGAGCTTATTGACCTCCTTCTTGAGAGTCTCATTCTCAATCATTAGTGAGGCATCACAAGTGAAACCTTCACTACTAGATGAGATGAAAGTAGAAGTACTATAAGAAGGGTTAGTGGGAGCAACAATGATAGGCATAGATAATGATTCATCAATTAGGTCACAAGTTAACCCTACATTATAAGTCTCAACATGCTTCTTCTTATTTTGTTCATTAAGCAAAGAAGAATGAACCTTTTCAAGCTTTTTGTGAGTCTTGCCAAGCTTCTCATGGGCTTCCTTTAGCCTCCCATGAGATGCATTGAGCTCATCAAAGGCTTGCTTAGGGGCTTTTAGTTCCTTACGCAAGCTTTTGCATTCCCTTCTCTTAATGCCGAAGTGTTCTTTAGCATCTTCTAGCATGTTAAATAGTTTATCCTTAGTAGGTTCATCATTATCACTATCACTTTCATTTTTATTTTCATTATCAAGTTCCTCATCACTTCCATCATCACAAATTTATACCTTAGTGGCCTTAGCCATGAAGCATGATGGAGTGTCGAAGAGAGAAGGCTTCTCATTGATAGCAATGCTTGTAAGTGCCTTCTTCTTGGTTGTCTTGTCATCATCACTATCATCATCATCACTTGAGGAAGCATCACTATCCTAAGTGACCACATATGAACCACCCTTCTAATTCTTGAAGGTCATCTTGTCCTTCTTCTCTTTCTTTTCCTTCTTGTTCTTCTTGTCATCATCTTTGTCGCTATTGTATGGCATTGAGCAACAAGATGATCTTTGCTTCCACAATTGAAGTACCTTCTTGAGTCTTCCTTGTTCTTGGATGAAGACTTCTTTCTTCTAGTACGGTAGCCCTTCTTCATCATGAACTTGCCAAATCTCTTGACAAATAGAGTTATCTTCTCATTATCATCATCATCCCATGAGCCATCATCTTCACTTGATGTATTTTGCTTTGCCTTGCCTTTGGATGATGTGGCCTTGAATGCCACACTCTTCTTCTTCTCATCCTTCTTCTCATCTTTCTTCTCCTTCTTTTCTTCCTTCTCATCATCATCTCTATATGTATCATCGGTCATTATATCTCCCAACACTTGGTTTGGTGTCATAGTGTCCAAACCACTCCTCACTAGAATAGTGACCAATGTGTCAAATCTTGAAAGCAACCATCTCAAGAACTCGTGAGAGAAGTCCTTGTCCTTCATCTCTTCTCCAAGTGCTTTAAGATCATTGACAAGCACTTGAAGCCTATGAAACATCTCCAACACACTCTCATCATCCTTCATCTTGAAACTTGTAAACTTCTCTTTGAGAATGTATGCCTTTGCACCCTTCACGGCTTGAGTGCCCTCAAATGATTCCTCCAACTTCTTCCATGCCTCATGAGCTCTCTCAATGTTCTTGATTTGCTCAAATGTTCTCTCATCCAAAGCATCATGGATGGCACTAAGAGTAATGTTATTATTTTGGAGTAGCATTTCTTCGACGACGATAGGAGCCTCTTCATCATCAATCTCAATCTTAGTCTCTACCACCTTTTAAACATTCCTATTGATTGACTTGATATAAGTTGTTATCTTAGCTTTCCAATAGGGATAGTTTGAGCTATCAAATTGTGGTGGCTTCTTGGTGTTATTGATTTGAGCCATTTTTACACCGAAGGTTGTTAAGCCTCAAATCACGGTGACCTCGGCTCCGATACCACTTGAAAGGTCCTAATGGCTAGAGGGGGGGTGAATAGCCTATTAAAAATTTCTACAACAACACTTAGCAAACCGGTTAGACAATTATGAGGTGAAGCAAGTATTGCGCTAGCCTACTAAAATTGCAAGCCACCTACCACAATTCTAGTTTATATAGTTTCTATCCACACAATAGCTATACCACTACACTAAGTTAGTGCACTCTCAAAAGCTAACTAAAGAGCCACACTGATCAAACTAACAAGCTCTCACAACTAGCTATACTAAAGAACTTGATAACTAGTTTGCGGTAATATAAAGAGAGTGAGCAAGATGGTTAACCGCTGTGTCGAGGAAGGAGCCAATTAATCATAAGAATGAATACCAATAAAGACCAATCACCTCGGAATCAAATGATGACACAATGATTTTTTATCGAGGTTCACTTGCTTGCCGGTAAGCTAGTCATCGTTGTGGTGATTCACTCACTTAGAGGTTCACGTGCTAATTGGCATCACACGCCAAACCCTCAATAGGGTGTCGCACAATCAACACAAGATGAGGATCACACAAGCCACGAGCAATCCACTAGAGTACCTTTTGGATCTCCACCGGGAAAAGGTCAAGAACCCCTCACAATTACCACGATTGAGCTGGAGACAATCATGAACCTCCGCTCGATGATCCTCGCTGCTCCAAGCCGTCTAGGTGGCGGCAACCACTAAGAGTAACAAGCGAACCCCGCAGCGAAACACGAACACTAAGTGCCTCTAGATGCAAACACTCAAGCAATGCACTTAGATTCACTCCCAATCTCATAAGGATGTTGAATCTATGATAGAGATGAGTGGGAGGATTTTGGCTAAACTCACAAGATTGCTATGTCAATGCAAATGGCCAAAAGGGTGAGCTAGAGTCGGCCATGGGCCTTAAATAGAAGCCCCCGTAAAATAGAGCTATTGTACCCCTTCACTGGGCACTGCTTGAGGCGACCGGACGCTCCGGTCATATCGACCGGATGCAGGACCCTAGCGTCCGGTCGCCCGATGCTTGCCACGTGTCATCGGCTTCAAACACTGATCGCCCGATCTCAACGGTCATCAGTATATTTAAGTAGTGACCGGACGCGCTGCTCAAAGTGACCGGACGCACCAACACCAACGTCCGGTCGTTTCCAGTAAGGTACCAGAAGCGAAAAATCATGACCGGACACGTCCGTTCACCCAACGTCTTTCCTGTACGCTGCATATGTCATCATACATCATACTGACCGGACTCAGGCCCTAAGCGTCTGGTCATTTTTTGCGCCAGCGTCCGGTCATGAGACCGAAACCACACGCTCACTGTTGCCACTGATCGGGCGCGCCGGTCCTTCCGAGACCAGCGTCTGGTCACTTACAGTGACCACGTTCACCTTGGTTTTAGTCACCGGACACGTCCGTTACACTTTGTGAAACACTGTCTTTTTTGTACAGGGCGCCATTGGCACCGTCGGACTGTCCGCACTCTACGGCCGGACACTCCGCCGGTGAAGTTTCTTACCCTTACTCAAATGTGCCAACCACCAAGTGTATCACCTTGTGCACATGTGTGTTAGCATATTTTCACAAATATTTTCAAGGGTGTTAGCACTCCACTAGATCCTAAATGCATATGCAATGAGTTAGAGCATCTAGTGGTACTTTGATAACCGTATTTTGATATGAGTTTTACCCCTCTTAATAGTACGGCTATCGATCCTAAATGTGATCACACTCACTAAGTGTCTCGATCACCAAAACAAAAATGGTTCCTACCACTTATACCTTTGCATTGAGCCTTTTGTTTTTTTCTTTCTTCTTTTCAAGTCTAAGCACTGATCATCACCATGGCATCGCCATCATCATGTCATGATCTTCATTTGCTTCACCTCTTGAAATGTGTTACCTATCTCATGATCACTTGATAAATTAGGTTAGCACTTAAGGTTTCATCAATTCACCAAAACCAAACTAGAGCTTTCATTAGGAATATTAAATATAGATCGATTACAAAACTAATTACATAGATAGAGATTAATTTGCGAGATAAATCTATTAAGCCTAATTATTTCATGATTTGACAATATGATGCTATATTAAACATGTGCCAATGATGAATTAATTAGGCTTAATAGATTCGTCTCGCAAAATTAGCATCCATCTATATAATTAATTTTTATAATTAGCTTAAGTTTAGTTTTCTTAATTAGTATCTGAACATTCGATTCGACCATGACTAAATTTTAGTCCTCCATCAAACACCCTCCTAATAAGATTAGCGACTATTTAATTTGCGCATCCTTTTTTTAGTTGCCTTTTGAGGTTTGTTTTCCACATAGGCTAAAACTGTAAGATTGAAATGTTTACATGCATAATTTATGCATTGACCTGAATGGCTGAATAAAATCAATGTTTCTAAAAAGTTATTAATCGAGGCTCGCACGAATGCTACGTGGCAAATGGCAGGCCCAGGGGCGCACGCTGCTGGTTATGTGTGGGCTGGGCTGGAAACCACGGTTTGAGACCGTTTAGAGGAAGGTTTGGGCCAAAAATGTTGATGGGTTGGATTGGTTTGGGCCTTTGGGGTGGACTGGTGGTGTGGGTCGGGTAGTAAGTCCTGTATTGATCATGGCCCATTAAGCATGTCTATATAAAGCCTCTGGTGCTAAACCCTACCGAGCCGCCCATTTGCGCCGCCGCTTGCTCGCCGCAGCCCTTCGCACCGCCGCCCCTTCCCGTCGCCGCAAGCGGCTGCTCGATCGGATGGCTCCCACGAAGAAGTCGGTATGAACGCCAAGCGACCTCCGCCGGTTCTCTGTTCCTTTCATTTCGAGGTGAATTTTCCTGTGATGGTGATTGGGTTCCCCGATGGTTTCGATCTGTGCAGAAGAAGAGCACAGAGAGCATCAACAACAAGCTGCAGCTGGTGATGAAGAGCGGCAAGTACACCCTGGGGTACAAGACTGTCCTCAAGACGCTGCGCAACTCCAAGGGTATCGATCCCATTTCTTCTCTAAGCGTTGCCTTTCCCTTTCCTTTTGATAGATCCGAATGGCACGTTGGGCCGTATGGATTTGTAGTAATAGTGTGGGTGTCTGCCTATAGAATTTATATCTGTCGTGTTATGAAACGAATTGGCTTTTGCTTTCGTGGATTGTGGTACTTATTGATGTATGATGATCTATGGTACTTTTTGCGATCTGTAAAGGTCATGGCCACTTTGGCTAGTGGCAACTAGTTTCTTCCAGCTAAATATATGGATTTGTAGTAATAGTGTGGGTGTCTGCCTATAGAATTTATATCTGTCGTGTTATGAAACGAATTGGCTTTTGCTTTCGTGGATTGTGGTACTTATTGATGTATGATGATCTATGGTACTTTTTGCGATCTGTAAAGGTCATGGCCACTTTGGCTAGTGGCAACTAGTTTATTCCAGCTAAATATGTTAAAGAATGTGCTTTATTTTTGGTCTGTGTAGGAATTAACACGTAGATGTACCTACAGTTTTGTTTTAGGTAGTTCACTGTAAGGCCTTAGAGTTTGGACTTCGGTTTGTATAATGGGACTGAAGTTTGCCTCTTTGGCTTCCTTTTATCCCTGCCTTAGAGATGAATACAGTACCCTAGAACAATGCCAGCTTTCCATGATAGAGTTCTCTTTGATTTCTTCATATCTGGAGGACAACTGGATGCTGCAACAATGTTGTTTTCACGTTTTTAGTAGGGTTATTTCTTTTTGTTAATTGGCTGTTTTGGTTTGTTCCATTATGTCTGAACAGTGAACGTGGTTCAATTTGCAAAATATTAGTGAGGTTTTAACTTTATACAACTGTTGTATTGTTGCGTAGTTTATGAATGGGGCTGGAGTTTGGCTCTTTGGCTTTATTTTCTGTGCCTTGGAGATGAATGCAGCGCCCTAGAACAAATCCAGCTTCCTGATTAAAGTTCTTGATTTATTCTAAACCTGGAATGCAATTGGAGGTTGAAATATTTGCTTACTTAGTACACCAAAATAAGTGGTTCAAGTATGTTTGAGTGATGGGGTCGTCTCAGCATGCAGAATACTGACGAAATGTTTAATGTAGTTTTAATAATGATTTGTATATATTTGCTGTGTCCTGCCTCATCATAGTTCACATTTTTCTGGAACTTTCAATGTTGTTGAATCTTTCAGATTTGCTTGCTAATTATTACGTGGCTTCCCGTTAACATTGTGCAAACATTATTGTTTTGACACCTGGGAACACTTGAGAAAAGGTGGTGTTGGCTTTCGAGTACATATGATTTTGAGCTCTTGCAGTCTGATGTCTCTATTCAGGAAAGCTGATCATCATCGCGAACAACTGCCCTCCACTTAGGAAGTCTGAGATTGAGTACTATGCTATGCTGGCCAAAGTTAGCGTGCACCATTTCCATGGAAGTAAGACCACCTTCATCCTTTCAGGATTATCTATTGCAAGTTCTGTTTGTTTTTAGTTATTTGGAGTTGTACTTGGCACCACTCATTTAATCGACTAAGGTTGGCGTTGTAAATTTTGCTAATATGTGTTGAACCCATTGTTTTGTTGACATTTCAGACAACGTTGATCTTGGCACTGCCTGCGGCAAGTACTACAGGGTGTGCTGCCTCAGTATCATCGACCCAGGTTTGTTTCTGTTAAATTGTCATGATCTTCTTCCGCTCGGAACTGTCACTGAACAACCTCCTGTAATGTCTGTTCCAGGTGACTCAGACATCATCAGCACCACCCCTGGCACCCAGTGAGTGAAGAAGAGCCAGGAGCTCCGCCTGTCACTAGTTGAGATGAGATGTAGGGCTCAGACTTCCGCCGCAAGCCCTATGCCCATTTCTTTTTTATCTTTTAGTTATGTAATTTTGCTACCATGTGTTCATCTACCATACTATGATACTGATAATACCTTCGTATGGCTGCTATGTAAGGCATATCCATCTTGTTTGATGAGATCGTTATATTTATTCCTTTGGCACATGTTGATGTGGATCAGATCAGTCTGTGCGTTGATGAGCTGCTTGGTGGTGATGCTGTTTGTCTGGATGCGTGGCTTGCTAAGCTTGGGATGATTCGTTGGTCGCCTCGACTGGTTTTGCATCTGGAGGTGCTTCTCCGATGGCTGTATGCCTAATGTTTCGTTGCTACTGCTTCGCTGTGCCTTATTAATGTGCTTTAACCATTCTCTACGACGTACAGTACGTTATGCTACGTTTTCGTAGAATCCTGTCTACGACGTACAGTACGTTATGCTACGTTTTCGTACAATCTTGACTACACGTTATGCTACGTTTTCGTACAAACTTGAGTAGATCGGCTGGCGCTGTATGTGTCATGTGTGTCTATGAACCTGGCACGTGCACACAGCACACATGCCGTCTGGCCTCCATGCGACCACGACCGATGCACGAGAACAGGTCAAAACCGTCGAGCACACAGGTTACGTTAGGCTTTCCAGGTTATTTCTCTCTCTCTCTCCGTCGAGCACACAGGTTACGTTAGGCTTTCCAGGTTATCGTGGGAGAAGTTGACCTTTTCGAAAACTCTAGCAGCCAGCACAGATCCACACCTCCCACGCCACAAATTGCTACGCGGGCCTGGTTAGCTCACCAACAAATCCTTCTCTTCTCTTAATTAATCAACACTCAGGTACAACAATAATAAAATACGAGGAGTATACATCCCAAAGAAAACATCACGAAAAAATAACACATGAAACCAAACAACTCGATCCTTCTTCACATATATATAAAACCAGATTTATTTATATATTTTCATACTTAAATGAAAAATGGCATGAGATCAAATTCTTCGTCATCCAAATTCATTACAAGCCTTTTTTTGCGAAAATTATATTGCTACTAATTCTTCACACGAGCGAGAAAATGTCGTCGACAAAGAACACCCGGCAACCCCGTGCACTAGCGGGAGCTGTTAGTTAGGTTGGTTTCTCCATAAACCAGCCTCCCAACCGAACCGGACCTGCCACGTAGGCGGGTCCAACGCATTCCCGCTGCCGCCAGCCAGTCACGTCCCGCCGCGTGGCGCGCATGCGTGGAATTTTATTTTTTAGTCCTAAAATCGCACCATTACGGCATTACGGCGTCCACGCTATATCACCTCGCCCTCGTAATCAATCAATCTCCCTGCGCCTCCCTGCCTGCCTGCTTACCCCGAGCGACCGGGCCCCGACCCCGACCCCGCCGGCATCTCGCGGAACCGCGGCGGTCAAAGCCCCCCCGCCCCCTCGCGCCGCGTCGCCGCGGTTTCCGCGGACCAGTGCTCTCGGGAGCTCCGATCAGGGGGGGCGGACGAGGTAGGGTGCTGCCGTCGTCGGGCGCCCGCCGGCGGCCGAGTAGTGAGAGGAGAGGAGAGATGGACGCGTTCCTGCAGAGGCTCAAGCGGCTGGACGCGTACCCCAAGGTGAACGAGGACTTCTACAAGCGGACGCTCTCCGGCGGCATCGTCACGCTCGTCGCCGCCGTCGTCATGCTGCTCCTCTTCATCTCCGAGACCAGTAAGTCACTCTCCGGCGGTCCGGCGGCCGGCAGTGGTCCGATTTGTTTTTTTTTGGGTTCTTTTTTCTATTTTGCGGCCTTTGTTGGCCCGGCATGGTTGTGGAATCCGAGGTGTAAGCTTGTCAAACAAGAAAGAAACAAAAGGCTGAATTCCGAGCCCCTTTGGGGGACTGATTGCTGCCTGCCTGTGATTATGTGGAGAGAAAAAAAAATGGAATTTCGAGAAGCTACTGTGCGTTCGCATCGTAACGTCCAGATTAATGCAGCAGACTTCGGGCTTAAGCTCTCTGGTGCTGTTGCGGTGTGTGGAGGGAAGAGATCCGTGTTTTGGTATGCCGAAATTACCGTTGGGCATGGACGCGAATCCTAATAATGCATAATGCGAACGATTATTTTTGCACTCTCTATTTGGGCGTGAGAGACTCTGAGCTGCTGGAATATTTCAAAAAAGGTTGCATTTTCAGTTGCTTTCGCCTTTCGGTTTAGTTCCTGCGGTTTGTCCCAATTTGGTGGGGGGACAATACTCGTTTATCCGGTAGACACCTGTTTTATGTGCTGACGTCTCTGTTTGATCTGCTTGAGTTTTATATTTCTTTTCATGTTATCACAATCACGTGTGCAAACAATTACATGATGAGGATTAGCTCTACTTTGCACTTACTATTTGTGTCTCAGTATTCAGTAAACTCTAGTTGAGGGAAAGCTTCTATTTTTAGTCTGCAAGTATGGACTGACACGGTATCACCTTTTCCGGAACCTGATGTGCTAGTACCTGTGTTTCTTGTTTTGCATGTATAAGACATTTTTGGGTAATTTTTTCCTTTTTGTCAAGTGTTTCCTTCAGAGTACTGGATTAGCCGTCGCTTGTGGCACACGATTCATTTTTCCTGTGGCAAGCTCACGTGTATCCACCTAACATTTGTTCTGAATCTGTTATAGCAGAGCTGCAAAGTTTAGGCCACAATGCCTATAGAAATGAGGAATATGTCCATTATCCCAAAATAAATACAGTTTACCTTAGCGCATGTTTGTCCAAAGAAAAATGGGCTAAATAAGGTTAATGCCCAGTGCTACCACAGATGCGGTTTGGGTAGTATTATGCCTTGTAGTTTTCTGTCATTGGCAAATTTTAATGTCCTGTCTTTTAGTGTCCCGTCATGAAATTCATGGCATTTGTCATCTATTTTTTTCGCACTTCTTTATTGCTCTTTGAAAAACTTAACCTCATCTTGTTTCCGCCTCTAAAATCTATGATCTACTGATGTTGTTCCTCTTACCAACATGCCATTATTGTAAGGAAATGCTGTTATGTTACATACTGTGCTTAAATAAGCAACATGAAGCGTCTCCTAATGGCTTTTCTGTGTACATATTTTCAGGGTCATATTTTTATTCAGCAACAGAGACTAAGTTAGTTGTGGACACATCAAGAGGAGAGAGGCTACGAGTAAATGTTAGTAGTTTTTTACCAATTAACCTGTCTGTAGGTTATTTGTTATACTTCTATTCTTTCTGTTTTAAAGAGACAGACACATACATTGTCGTCTGGTAGTGCCTAACAAGTGTCTTTTGTAATACTAACTCCAATTTACAGTTTGATATTACTTTTCCGAGCATTCCTTGCACCCTCCTCAGCATTGATACAACAGATATTAGCGGAGAGCAGCATCATGACATTGTAAGTTCTGAAGTTATCTTATTTTGTGATGCTTTGTTAATTTATTTTTTGATCTTTCATATAATGGTTCCATTGTTTCCTTTTCCCTGTAGAGGCATGACATCGAGAAGAGAAGATTAGATTCACATGGTAATGTTATTGAAGCAAGAAAAGAAGGCATTGGCGGAGCAAAGGTGAGTGCTCTATTGCAGACTTGCAGTACACTAACTCATAAAAAAAGTGTTCATATTTTTATGACAGTTGTAGCAATTCTGGTGGATGAATTATGGGTACAATTTCCACCCTTCTTTCAAAAGTTGAACCAACCAACAGATACGCCTGTGCACATTTCTGGGGCAATAGCACAGTTTATATTTTACAAACAGAAGGTTGAAATTTTGAGAGCTGTCTGTGGTTCATTAAAAAAAAAAGACTAGGCAGAAGAAACTGATAAGTGATGGGTCTTTATAACCGCACAGTGTTATGATCATACCTGTAAATTTCTTAGTTTCTTCTGTCCTTAGCCCATGTATTTTCGCCTAGTTCACTGCTGAATTGTTGCTCCTTAAAGAGCCTTCTAGAACTCATGGAGAAAACTACCAAATTGTGACATGACATCAAGAAGCTAGAAGTTTAATGTTGGCATTCATACATGCTTTTAATGACATAGATAGTTCATTATTGTTATATTTGAGTCTATACTAGTATAGAAGTGTTTTCCAACCGCGTTTTCTTGAAACTGTTCTTTGTGTCTATGTCAAATCTTTTGTTTTCATGTTTCCTCCAAAATGTACCACAACCACAACGAAACCTGGTCAACTGTAGATATAAAGCTGGCTTGGTTGTACTTTTAACAATTTCAGATGCATATCCTTGATAGAAAAAATAATGTTTGTATAGATCGAGAGACCATTGCAAAAACATGGAGGAAGGCTCGACAAAGGTGAACAATATTGTGGCACATGTTATGGTGCTGAGGAGGTATGCACAGTTTTTTTTTTGGTTCATTTTGTTTTATTGTAACTTTTATTTCAACATCCTTATCCATTTCGCTTTACTTCTCAACATCGAATTGCTTGGACCTACTCGGAGTTCAGTCGGATGAGCAATGCTGTAATTCTTGCGAAGAAGTTAGGGAGGCATATAAGAAGAAAGGTTGGGCTCTGACAAATCCTGACCTAATTGACCAGGTATATCAGCTATTTTACCTGGATTTACATCATGAAGGTTTACATTTAGCTTTTCTTTGGGAGAGTCTTACTTTTTAACTTATGGTACACAATTAATCTACTGCTTTTGAGGAATCACATTCACTTGGAGGCCCCTGGTTCCTTGATCCATCATCTGCCTTGATTAACAGAAATTGCCATCTGCAATGTAGTGACATCTTTAAGTATTTTTTTATGTCATTTGCCGGAGACTAGCCCTGGTTCAGAATGTGCCCTTAGGGCTAGTTTGGAAACTCAAATCCCCTTGGGATCTCTGACTTTTTCCAGGGTGGGCAATCCATGGGGATATCATTTGAATAACCCATTTAGTTCTTCATGGAGGGTTTTCCATCCCTGGGTGTGCCTCTCCCTTGCTTCCAAATTAAGCCTTAGAGTTATATACTTCATGTGTTGGTTTCTAATTAGCAAGTATCTTTTTCTGGTGAACTTTTTAAAGGTTTCCTGCACACTTTCTTTATTCCTGAGATCCACTGGTGTTTGTTGACTCTTTTAGTGCGCAAGAGAGGATTTTGTTGAGAGAGTTAAAACTCAGCAAGATGAAGGCTGCAATGTCCATGGCTTTTTAGATGCCAGTAAAGTTGCTGGAAATTTTCACTTTGCCCCAGGCAAAGGATTTTATGAATCAAACATAGATGTACCTGAGCTGTCAGTACTTGAAGGTGGTTTCAATGTAAGTAGATCATTTTAAGTTTTTTCCCCTTAGATTATTTTGACTGTTTATGTTCAATGTTTCTAATATGTTTACCGTAACTTTACCAGATTACCCACAAAATAAACAAACTGTCCTTTGGGACAGAATTCCCTGGTGTTGTTAATCCACTTGATGGGTACTATCTATGTTTCGCTCAGTGAGCATAAAATGGTGCCAATTGTTTTTTAGGCACTTCTATTAACCTAAATATGTATTTTCTTACTTTAAAACTTCACCATTTATGAACACAGTGCTCAGTGGACACAGCCAGCTTCAGATGGGACATACCAGTATTTCATAAAAGTGAGTCTTTTCATACATGTATGTTCCAGTTCTATGGCTTAATGAACTTACCGAGTTTCCTGTCCAGGTTGTCCCTACAATATACACTGATATAAGAGGACACAATATTCATTCGAACCAGGTTTGTGGAACTATTGAATATGTGCAACGTTTTATATTCCCTCAACATTAATATCTTTCTGTTACTTTCATTTTCAGTTCTCGGTAACAGAACATTATAGAGATGGAAATGTTCGTCCATACTCCAAGAAACCCCAACCTGGAGTATTTTTCTTCTATGATTTCTCACCTATAAAGGTAATAACGGAGTAATAAAAGATGCATATACAGTTTTCTGTAGATCATGAACTCCTTTTATCATTTTCACATATATGTGATTATATTAATTAATTCCCAGTTTTTTTTATTAGTGCAGTTAGCACTGTTGTAATCCTCTCAGATTGAAAGTTATACTCATTTCAGTTCTTCAGGTCAGCGATCCCTATAAAATTGAACTGTCTATTTTTTTGCAGGTGATATTCACAGAAGAAAATAGATCCCTACTCCACTACTTGACAAACCTTTGTGCTATAGTGGGAGGTATGAGCATCATGTTTAGTTTAGGTGTAGTTATCATTTGTCAAAAGATTGCTACATCTACAATCTTCACTCTTCTGTAAACGAAACCTTTTATAAACCCTCAAATGTCTTGCTGAACGCTCCAGTAATTCTTTGACATTCCTTTTGATAAACAGCAAACTTTTTGTGGAATTGACTCCCCACATTCTTTTGCAGTTCTGTATAAAATATTGATGAAACAGTTTAAGCTGTGCATTTGACTGTAGTGTTCATACTAAAGCGGAGCTTTTGTGGCAATAGATGTCCGCAATCAGTTGCATTTCTGTAATTTTTTTAAATAAAAATAGCTTCAGCTACGATTTCCATGAGTGCAACTAACAAATTTGATCTGCATTATCCTCAGGTGTTTTCACCGTCTCTGGTATCATTGACTCATTCATATACCACGGACAGAAGGCGCTCAAGAAGAAAATGGAGTTAGGCAAATACAGATGATCAACTTCGACCCTGTACTGGCCCATCGTTTCCAAATTTTGTGGCATGTAAGGAGGGTATATGCCTACTAAATATGGCGAGGTGCCACTCACGTTGCTTAGGTTGCAAGGCCATCAAACTGATGTTATTGCACGTTAGCTGATCTGATAACCTGTAAAAAGACATGGAGTAGCCTGGTCTGGGGGGAGTGCTTTGATGTCTATCATTGTTGACTGTCGTTGAATGGCCTGAACGTCTGAACCGGTGCGGTGGAGTAAATTTGAGTTTGGAGGTGGATAGATCATAGATCACAGAATGTTTCTCATGAAAGTTTGTTCAAGGAAACAGCTTCACTCATGGTGTCACCCATCTTTCTTCTAACTTTGTTCATTGGAGTGCTGCTCTTCAGGAAGAACTAGAACGATTCGATTGATTATATTGCTTTTCTCCTAATGACCTTAGAGGATTCCCTTTTCTCGTTTTATTTCCAGCTGAGTTATTCAGTAAATATATATTAATTTTAATAGTGATTTTTAATCCTACCTCCAATTTATTAGGGTTGGACCGATGAAAAGGTATACATATTAGAAGATAGAAAGATACCATGTACTGTTAGGATGACATGTGGGGCTAGGGGCATCTCAATTGATGGTTTTACTGTTTGCCTATTTTGTTATCTTTGTGATGAACTGAGCTAAATAGTCTAAACTGCAATACTATGGCTATGTTTGTTCCTTGGCCAGGCTACATATTATATGTAAGAGGTTATTATGATTGATTTCATTGGATTATGTAAGCTAAGCTGTTTAGCAACCTATATTATTGGATGTGTTAAAAAGAAAATTTAATATAAACTTAAATAAGCTGTGGTCCTGGGCATCTTGTGGGATTATCGTAAGCTGGGATGTGGATCATATAGTTTGACTTATAAAATCTGGGATGTTAGTAAACGATGCTGGCTTGTATAAGCCCGATTATGTAAGCAGGAGTAAACAACTGTGCCCTAATTAAAAGGGGATTGATTGCCTAGTACATGCTCCGTCCGTTTAAGTATAGAATCAACTCAGGATAAGATGAATAAAATAGTACTGATTTTGATCGGATTTGCTTTGCACAGCTGCTCTCGGATGGAATCATATATATCGAGCTGAGTGGATATGAACAAAGAAAAACAGCTTAGATTGATGGTGTCGTTTACTTGTTAGAACTGCTTTTTTATTAACTGATCTGCGCATGAGCGGTGAGCTTGTTTTATGCGGGTCAACCAATATCATCCCGTACAGATTTCACTGCAAGTGGCTACGTTTTCAACGTCAATGTTCAGCTTACTCAACCCAGAAAAGGTTCCTTCCTCAGGAGAGTAGTACCAACTTAATCTGCCAAAAATTGGCCTGCAAAATTCCTCACTGTCTTACCAAGTGACATCTCCCAGACTAATGTTCTTAATCTGCCAAAAATTGGCCTGCAAAATTCGTCACTGCCTTACCAAGTGACATCTCCCGTACTACTGTAGGATAGCAAGGCAATAGGATAGAAACAAGGGTGTATGTGTGTCTTTTAGGTCAGGGCTTCTGGAAGTCACCACTCCAGCCCTTTCTTGAGGTAGGTTACCCTACAAAATGAAATCTGCAAGGTGATGCAATCAGGCTAACCAAACCAGTTCCACCCGGTGAGCAGTTTTTTCTGGAAGCTCACAGATTTGCAGAAAGAACATTCTAAAGAAGAGAAGATAGTAGCAAACTAACAACACAACTCCCTTTATGCAAAGGTAACTTCGTCTTTGAAAGAAACTAAGCCTTTTTGTAGCCATATAAGATCATGCATTAGTTGTCCATTTTATATTTAAAATAAAATCTCCGTTAATCCATACATGTCGACCAGTATTAGCAACAGAGTATTCCCATCAAGCAAAATATTTGCAACTTGATAAGTTGACACGTGAATATACGATTCATTTTCTTTTCAAGGAATCTGCACTCCAGACATGCTGTATTCAAATATTTTCAAAACTCTTGACTAGTTTACCTCAAGAAAGTACTCATGCCAGCTAAATTCTGATACTAGTAATGCAGAGTAATAGAATTCTTTAGTGGCCAGTTTTATGAATGACCCTTCCAAAGATCTGAAAGGCAATTATTCATGAAAAGATATTTGTGTAATCTTATAAGAATGGATGAGACATAAGAGATGTGGACACCCTCTAAAAGCACTTCAGTAAGAAATCCCAATCGAGAAATTGTCAATGTGTCTTAATGAACTAGATCGTGATCCAAATCACATGCCAATGGTATTAATGAACTAATTTATTGGATCCTCACAATAAAAAAAAACTAATTTATTGGAATGAAGTCTTTAACATGTCATTAACATCGAAGATAGAGATCATTGGTCCGATGATAACTACATTTGGAATCTCAGGTTGTTTTACTAGCAGTAGGATAGAAACCCATATGCTAAGTCAACTACAGGAAAGCAGTCCCACAAAGTCATAACTGTAACCTGCAATCCTTAATTATTAGAAACATTCTAAGAAACGCAGGAATCAAAACCAAGTAGAAACTGTTCTCCAGGAGTTGTCAGCATCAGATCAGTCATTTTCATTTCACGATCCCAAAATGAATGTCATGTACCTGAAGGCATAATCTGGCTCTTCTTTTCCAAGGCTGCTTTCAACTTCCACCTATGAAACTGAAAGAGGAGAAAAATGTACACATGGCAAATATAATAATTTGTGTCCAATGGTGCGAGCATCTGAATATCTCCCTGTGCTGAGACATTAAATGATCACAAGGCTGTTTCACTTGAAAAGAGTTAGCAGTAGGATGCTTCACAGTTTTCGGTATGACACGGGGCACAAGGGACCAGAATGGTGAGCTATAGAGAGATTCACTATTACACTAGAGAACTTGATATGATTTTTACATAACCAAATGTCAACACTGTACAAAGAACTAAAACAGCAGACAGCAAGCACCAACTAGAGATGGCACCTTCTTGGATATTACACAGATGAAAAGCTCAGCTAAATGGGCCATGCATAGCACCAACAAGCTCGATACCACGACGAACTTAAGATTCCTAGAAGCCATTCATCTCCAGAAGGTAAGTGCGTCTCTTCATCAGTGCCTTCACAGCAGCCTTAAATGGCCCATCAAATGCTCCAAAGACAAATCCGTCAGCCTCCTTACGGTTAGGGTGGCTTCCATTGCTTCCCTCAGGTGAGGGTTTGATAGCCACCAAAGTAGCGCCTTGCAACGCCATGCCACCAGGCAGCTCAAGATATGGAGTGTACTTGAGCTTCATGTTGCAAGCTGGGACCTGAGTCCTGTTGGAACATGCCGAGGCAGACAACTGGTTCTCTCTGAACTCCTTCAGCTGCTCTGCCCCCATGGACAATGTGCCTTGGCCATCGGCATCTGTTAGTACCAAGCTCCAAAGTGTGGGATGGTCATTGATGACTGAGCGGAGAAGATAGTGCCTCGTTGATGCCGCAATTAGAGAGCTGATTGTCCAGACGACACGAAGTTTCAGGCCGCCATTGGTATAGAAAGACTCTGGCATGCTTCCATTATCCTCCAAAGATGGCTCATGCTCTCCACCAACAGGCTTGCGGTCAACCCGGGTACCCCCCAGGATCACACAATTCTGAAGTGTGCTCCCATACTCTGCCCGCCATTTCAGGAGAACTCCCTCCTCAGTACCCACATCCCCAGAGGGGAGCTCAATCCGAAGATTCCTGACGTGCGTGAAGTTCCTGAGCACCTGTGCTGGCGAGTGCTGCGAGAGCTGCGGGAACAATGGCCTCCCAGTACCATTAGGGTTTCGCATGTTGTGGAACGGCTTGATGATTGTGAGGAGCATCAGCTTCAGGAAGTGCGAGAAGATGTTCCGAGGCTTCGGCGAGGACAGGTTGAGCGTGTCCTCGGCGTCGCCGTCGACCGCCACGACGCGGTCAATCTTGACATACACATCATGGACAAGGGGAACAAGCCCACAGAGGCGCTTGGACACGGCGTAGCACCGGCCGAGCGATCGCACGTCCTCGACCTTGTTCAGGATCAGCAGGACGAGCGAATCCGGCAGGCAGTCGAAGTGGTCAACCTCGCGCACCGGGTCGGCGTGGATTCGAGCCTTGGGATGCATCGCACGGCACACAAGGTCACACCTTTCTGCCACGCAGCAAGACGAAACGCCCCCAAGATTGCCAGGTAAGGCTGGCTCACCCAAATGGCAGGAACCGCGGGTCCAATCGACGCGATTACCTGAAGAACAGAGGACGAACATCGGCGGTAAGAAAACAAGTGAGCGAATAAAGAAAAATGGCAGAAATGGCAAGCAGTTAATTAAACCCACATGCATCAGAAGTGCCACAATAAATCAACAAGGACCTCAAATCGGGAACTCCAACAAGCAAATCCCAAGAATGAATGGTGTACCTCAATCACCGCCACCGCAGTCGCGATTCAACTCAGGTCAGCAAATTGAGCCCGAAGCTCGACAGACCCCCAACCAAAAGCCCGACCTCTCGCCGGAACACACCCGGATCCGGCGCCGGAGAGCACCGGTGATGACCCTGGGCCGCGAAACCGTGGCACGCCCCCCTCAGAGCGAGAAACAGCCTGAACCGGGGGGTCCTAGCACAAAAGGGCTGCGAAATTTCGCCAAACCCAGCACGGCTCAGCTCCCGCAGGCAGCTGGAACGTCGGAGGGCTTCGAATTGGGAGGCTTTTGCTGCGAATCCGACGAGGTTAGGGTTTATGGAACGAGCAGTAGAGGATTTCCCCGTTCTCTTTTCAATTCTTTAGAGAGAGAGAGAGAGAGAGAGAGAGAGGAGAGATGCAGAGGAAGTGTTGGAATGCTTTTCTTCTCTCTCCCCAACCCATCCGACGCGGCTTTAATACTGGTCACAGAGGCGCCTTGGATGGGAGGTGATGACGCCGTTAAGCAACGGTCCCGTGCCGTCCATCCACGTCAGCGGAAGAAACGTGGCGGGGTTAAATTATGTAGTCTCTCTCGCCTAATCCACTGCTAGGATGTTGTTTATAGAATCTTATAAAAAGAATTATATTCGAGATCAGGAGAGCAATGATCCAGCTTGACGTAGTACTATATCTGTAGCAGAAAAAAATGTGATTCTAACAAGTTTGGTCTGAATCAACTAGCTTATAGCTTTCTTATATAACAAAAAAAACTAGCTTAGCTTTCACAAGATTTATAGAAATTTTGTATTAATAATTATGGCTTCAAGTCGATGTGTGCTATCAAATATATTATATGAAAAATCTAATTACTTCTACTTAGTATGATTTGATATCTTCTTATATAAATCAAGTTAGACTTTATGCTTTGAATTGATACTATATTAGAATTGTATTATTTTCAAAATAGAGGTAGTAACACTATTGTGCGTGCTTGTAAGAGGTCCTCTGACATGTACAAAAGTGTCATTTGGGTGGTATAATAGAGAAAATATTCAGTGCTAACCCTCTCTACGGTGGAAGTATAAGAAACTCTTAAAACATACTAAAAAGTTTTTAACGAATATAAAATAAAAATGGTGCACAGTTGTATTGTGTTTGTGGATATATCTTGTCGCAAAACTTTAGATGAAAACTCATTACGTTAAAAACATATAAAATGAGAAATTGTCACATGCAATTTTGTTTTCTATGTAGTGCACATGCAGCTGATTTTTTTATATGAATTTTCATAAAATAAGTTTATTTTTTTATGACGGAGTGTGTACACTATTTATTTATTTTTTTAAAAAAACACTTCTAAGTGTACCTTCTAATTTACGTGATTTTCATGCATCCATTAAAGAGGTGATAATTTGTACCTAGTGTTATCATAGACGTTTCTTAAGGAATGTGAATCAGGCTGTCATTTCGATGTCACCTTGATGACTTGACGGAGTATGGGCGTGTTTGGTTGCACGCCGAAACTCGCCACGCCAAAAGCTCGGCGGCTTTGGCCGCTGCTTGGTTGCCGTGTAACTATTGGCAGCTACAGCTGTCACTTTGCTTCTGCTACTTGTCGTTTTGCTTCTTAATGAAATATACGTGAAGTCGTGTTCTAGAAAAAAATACTTGTCGTTTTGCCCTATGGCAAAGTGTGGCGTGTGGCAGCCATTTTTACGCCATAGCCGCGGCGCCACCAAACCTACGGCGTGGCAAGCCGTGTCAGGCAACCAAACAGGGTCTATATCGTTTAGAATGCTATAGACATTCACTTTTGTTGCATGCAGATAGAGTACCACTCTACTCTACCTGTGATTTCTTCATATGTAATCCTAATAATACCAATATCATGCACCTAACGGGGCTTATGTATATTTGTATGTATGCAATTTCCTGGATATAAATGGAATTATTCCCGGCCGATGTAAAGAAGATACAGAAAATAGCTAATCTGTCTACTCTCGCATGTTGGTTGCCAGTCAAAAATGAGAAAAGACCTGTTGTTTGTTTCATAAAAAAAGAAAGGCAAATTTTGCTGTAGACACCACAAAAAAAAATTAATTGGCTGGCACACACCGCAACGACGCTTCTTTGCCCAGTACCATTACAATTTTTGCGTATTTGCCGGTGGACACCACGCCGACTAAAATAGAAATTTCCTGTGTCATGGAGAGAGAAACTTGACGAAGTAGACGATTTTACCTCTGCCGGCTTGAGTCGCGTTCGTGGTCTGGTTGAACCACATAAACACGACCAGACCCGGACCCATCTTCTTCATTGCCGTCGTCTTCCTCATTCTTCTCGGCCTCATTCTCTCTCCCTGTCCTCTGCCTCCCCTTTTGCAGGAACCCTAGTTCCTTAGGTTTGGGCTTCTGGGATGGCGTCGAGCTTGCATTCAACCCCCTATGGCGCACCTCAATCGGCCCCCTTGTCCGTTGAGCCGTACAGGGACCCTGCAGGCTTCTTGCCATTGGTTGCTTGCTCCAAGTGCGGAACCAAACTCATCGGGCGCGTCTCGCAGAAGACCGATAGCAAGGGGAAGAGATTCTTGTAACACCCCTGGTGTTACGAGCTTGCTTAGCACCGAGATTTAGGTCCAAGAGGGATTATCCAAACAAGTTTTCGAGTTTTAAAATTTTATAACGCACGTGAAATGATAAGTGAATCCTATGTGACTCACTTTTGTGGACTCAAATAAATATCTAAGTTAACTTACTTGGTGCGTAAAAATGCTAATGAAAATCCTAACGAGAAAAATGGGATAAGTTTTAATTATTTGGCACAAAAAACAATTTATATAAACAAAAATAAAATATAACTTGTATGTAGTACTTAAGTAAAGAGGATGAGCAAGTGGTGTAGTTGAAGATGCAACTTTAATTTGTGAAAACAAATGTTGTTAACTAGTGTTTTTAGAGCTCAAAAATCAAATTTGATGTTAAGATAAGCTCTTTTCGTTAAGTCGACAAACACTTGAACTATTGTTAAAATACTATTTTGGCGAATTATATTGAGCAAAATAGTTAAATGGTGCTTAAATATTTTGCTCATATGGGTTAGTATAAGGTATGGACTATTGCATTATGTATTTGTTGGTTGAAGTTAACAATATTTAGACCTATTAAAAATTACGACAAAAGAGTTAATGGCTACTTAGCCCAATTGAAATTCTTATCTTTTCTAAGTATGGATGGGTAGTAGACAATGCCATTTTGGCATTTAAATTCTAACTAAAATATTTAAACACTAGATCCATGTCTTTATACTGTTGGTTGCTTCTAAATAAGCACTTGAGAATGGTGTAGGTCGAAGTTATGTTGGATGTCATGTTACCCGCTCTAAATTTGTCCTAACCTCCTTAGAACGCGTTGTGAACCATGATTTGGTGCTCTATTCGTGAACCGACGTTCAGCGCGATGAGCTCGTGTTGGCATTCCTCTCACTCCCTCTCTGGTTGCTCCCTGGTCCTAACGATTGCTTCGCTAGCTAGCTAGAAGTGTTGACCTTAGGTTCATAGAATTGGTTGGGCCTTCATCGAATTAGTGAGCAGTTTTTGGCCCACTTTAAAAAGCGTGTGTGGCATCGTTCCTAGTTTCTTGACCTGAGGCCGCGGTCACCACGTGCGCGAGTGTGCTGCCGGTGATGAGCTCGGGCCGTGGTCGGGTAGCTGTCGTTGGTCGGTCCATGTGCCGTTGTCGCGTGTCGCTTGGTGCCGCGCAACGCCTTCGCCTCATTGTGGTCGAGTCCCGCGGGCCAACCCTGGTGGTTGGCCGGCTGTGCGCCAGGCCAGGCTTGGCCGCCACCTCCCCACGCTGTGTGCACGTACTGCCAAGTCACGCACAGGACTACACTCTGCCTTCTCTATCACCTTGCCTCACCTTGTAGCGCGTGTTCACAGCCGCTCATCCCACCTACCTTGCTCTTGCTCGTACCGCCTCTTGCCGCATCGCGACGTCATGCTGCCGTGTGCACATGGCCACACAGGCACCCCTTTGTGGCAGAATCACCCAAAATAGCACACTTACGGAGGTGCTCGTCTTCCACCAGACGCTAAGCACCCCGAAAGTAAGCTACATCGGGCGGTATCCGTCGGGCACACCCCAAGGGACAACCCGAAAGATTAACATTTTCCCCAAAGGATCCAATAATGAGAACGAGTTACAATACTTAATCTATTTCATACATCCAGAGTTCATAAAAAGTACATTATTACATTTCCAAGTCAGAGTGCGGAATATTAAACAGCGGAATTAAAAATAAGCATCTAGCGATAAAGAACGAGGATCCGTCTGTGCCCACCAGAAGAATCCTCCACACAATGGTACTCCTCAAGCATTACCTGCAACAGGGGTAAATAAACCCTAAGTACACAATGTACTCGCAAGACTTATCCAACTAGTGGGAATAATTTTTCGACTCCAAGGAATATGATAAGCTTTATGGTTTGATGATTTTCTTTTTGCAGAAAGCAATACTAATAATACATCCTTATTGATGTTATTATTAATAGTCGTATTAATTTATTATCTATCCATTCTATGTAAGCACCTGTTCTATTTTCAAGCAAGAGTTGAGCAATTAGTTCCATTTCATCACCTTTCATCTTTCAGTTCTTACTACGATGCTAGAGTTAAGACAAGCCGTACCGACTTAGCGACGATTCGCGAATCAATGTCTCCAGCT